CAGCCATCAGCTCTGTTCTCTCAGGGGTGTGAGCAGGCCATGAGCTCCGATCTCTCAGGGTGTGAGCAGGCCGTGAGCTCTGCTCTCTCAGGGTATGAGCCAGCCATCAGCTCTGCTCTCTCAGGGGTGTGAGCAGGCCATGAGCTCCGATCTCTCAGGGTGTGAGCAGGCCGTGAGCTCTGCTCTCAGGGTGTGAGCAGGCAGTGATCTCCACTCTATCAGGGTGTGAGCAGCGGGTATGGGCTCTCTGCAGAGCCCAGGGCAGGCAAAGGCAAAGCCAAGGAGACAGAGAAAGATGGCGCCCGCCCAATCCTTCAGATGTCTGTGAGTGACCTCGGTTAGTGTAGCAGCCTAGCGTGTTACACTTTTCTTCAGAAACTGTAATTCTGGAAGGCTTGACTTACTAGGTGTATTTCAGAGCTCAACAGACCCCTTCCCACAAGCTACTCCAGCCAGTGTGGCCTTACCTGCTCACGCATGATGTCAGAGAGCTCCTTGGCCATCTCCCTGTAGTTGGCCTTCATCTCCTCCTGATACTCCAGCTGGTCCTCCTTGATCAGACGCTCATTCACTGCCAAAGCCTGGCCACACGCTTCAACAAATTGCCTGAGCGAGGTGAGGGGACAAAGGCATGGAGAGGGGGCCAGCGCAGCGGAAGCATGCCTCCGTCCTTCCCTCCCTCCCTCTCTCCCTCTCTCTGTCTCCACCACCACCACACAGCACGATGGAGTCACTCCTTGACACCCTCAAAAGTCCTCTGCTAAGTGTGGCCCCAGGGTGTGGCTACTGGTGAGTGGCGGTGTTTTGGAGGTGGGACCTAGTGGGAAGTCTTCAGGCTGTTGGTAACAGGCCTGTGAGGGCTGGGGGACTTCCTCATTTTCCTCTCCTTTGAGGCTAGGACATCAGTAGTGGGACCACAGCATCCTCCACTGGCCCCACACAGTCTCACAGAGTGTAACACCGTCTCTCTCCCACAGCCTCCCACAGTCTCCCACAGCCCCATAGTCTCCCACAGCCTCCCACAGCCCCACAGTCTCCCACAGCCTCCCACAGCCCCCCAGTCTCCCACAGCCTCACAGTCTCCCACAGCCCCACAGTCTCCCACAGCCCCACAGTCTCCTACAGCCTCCCACAGCCTCCCACAGCCCCACAGCCTCCCACAGCCTCCCACAGCCTCCCACAGCCCCACACAGCCCCACAGTCTCCCACAGCCCCACACTGTCTCACACAGTCTCACACAGCCCCACACAGCCCCACACAGCATGGGCCCCAGTCAGCCTTTTCTCTGTCAGGAAACTGCCTTGGCAGTTAGAGCAATGGAAAGCGGCCTTCCACACAGGAGTAACCTTCAGGAGAGATTCTCAGCGCGTTACCTGAAAACTTCCTTGAGCAGCTTCACCTTATTGTCCGGGTATCTTTTTGTGTTGCTGACATCGAGGAAAGCTCGGGCGTAAGCTAGGGGGCCAGCGTTGACCTGGGGAAAGAGCAAGGTTTGCTACTGTGTACGAAGAGAAATGGCCACCAGGATTTGTTTCTGTCAGTTGTCACACGCTCTAAACGCTGCTTACGCACCAGTCACAACCCCTGACCTTCATGTACATAAAGGCCAAGAAAAGAACCACAAACTGCGCTACATCATTCCACCCTGCTTGATCGTATCACATGAGCCATCTTCAGGGTCTCTCGATGCTTCATTTTCTGTAGAAGGAAGCAGTGCAGGGACATATGGCTGTTCTCAGATCAGCAAAACACCAGCGCCTGGGAGGGTTTTACACACACAAGTTTGTGCTCCCCTGTACTGAACTGTCAACCTGGTGAATTGGTGGGGAATGAACACACATGGCAGGGTTCTGGCGTGTGTGTGTGTGTGTGAAGGAGTGCGTGTGTGTGCTATGTGGGGTCCGCATCAGGCGCCTCCTCTATCCCTGGCCGCCTTTCCTTCCTTCCTCTGAGCAGATGTCTGGCTGACTAGGCTTCGTCTCCTGCGCAGTGAGCATGAGCCTGGCCCCCGCCTCCCTGTGCTGGGGTGCCCGAGGTGCTGGCCATCTGAAGGCAGCGTGTACTGGAGTGGCTTACGGGCTGAGCCACACTCCCGCCTCCCGCACCCGAGATACAAGCCAGAGCCTTGTTCATCTCATGGGACATCAGGCAGCCACAGGCCAACTGTCCTACTCGCTTCAGCCATGCCGTGCTGGAGACCGAAGATGGTCAGCTCCAGCGACCGCGCCACCACCAACTCCCAACCAACCACAGCAGTTCTCCGTGGTGACACCACACTATAGGAATGAGGAGAGGGCCAGATCCTGGGACAGGAAGGAGAGCACCCCAGGAGCCTCAGGAGTACCTGACCTCTTCTGGGAAGTCTGGCGGGCTGAGGAAGCAAAGGGGTAAGCAAGGGGGTAAGCTTCATGCTGTTGGCATGAAGCTCCGACTCATGAGGGCCACGGACAGTCTCAGAACCGAGCCAGGTGAGCTCATGGCAGCTGCGGGGAGCTGAGGGATCAGTGTCAGATGCAAGGCCTCCTTGACGGACAGCTAACTTCCCGTGAGTATGGCGGCCTCTGCACTAGGCTATGTGGAAGTCAAGCTGACATGGAGACAGCGCAAAGGCTGTGACAGGTAAAGAGACAACCAGTTTTAAACAGGCACAAAGGGCATGGCTGCTGGGACTACGCAGGGCACACATGGTGAGAGCAAGGAAAGCCACGCTACAGAGCCAGGGCCAACGGTGGCCCGGAGCTCTGGGAGACAGTGACTGGAATGCTGAACAAGAGCAACTCTCTTTGGCCTCCATTGTTACCTGCCTGGGCACCGACATGGGCATCCAGCGTTGTTTCTGCCTGCAGGTCGTTGTTTTATAAGCTGTTGGGGTTTTTATAAACTCTCCAGCGTCACCATCAAATGACACTACAGGCCTCACACTTTAGAGAGCACACCCTATCTGGCCTGCCCCTCTGCTGGCCTTCTGACAGAGGCTCTGTGCTCCAGGTCAAGTCATTGAGTGACATTTTAGTTACAGAAAATGTGGCTCTGGTGCTGTTCTATAGCTACGTTGCTGGAATGTTGATTCCTTCTCTAAGTGACTGAGGTTTAAGCCTGTAGGACATGAGGGAGGTGACCAGAAAGCTCTATAATACTTTTGTGGTCAATGCCACTTGCTTACAACTTATGAATCTTTATGTGAGCACCTGAGACAGAAACAGAGTCCCTGGAGCTGAGCTTACACAGTAGAAGTTCTGTGTAGCCTTCGCAGATGCACCATGCTTACACAAGAAATGGAGAAACCCTCGGGATACAGGAGAAGCCGACAAGAGCTTGAATTCTTTATACGCGCACAGAGTTGGTCACCTTAGGGAGCTGATTAGACTTGCCTGTTACCTAGGTAACTATCTGAAATAACTTTAAATGGCCCACAACACTCAGATGGGGGAAAACTTGAGAGAGGGTCTCAGGTTGCCCAAAGCAGCTTGAAACCAACCCTGTAACCGAGGATGACTGAAGCTCAGCTCTTTCTGCTTGACCTTCAGAGTGCCGGAACGTTAGGCCTGGCTTACCACAGCTACTTTACAGTCGGGGTCAAATCCAGGGCCCCTCAAATGCTTGGCAAACCTCTACAGCCTCTCTTCTTTGTTTTGCTTTGAGACAGGGTCTTACTATGTAGTACAGGCTGGCCTTAAGCCCACAGCAACACCCCGGCCGGAGAGGCAGAGACCACCAAATCCTGCCAGAAAAAGTATCTTCACCCCTCTGTGCCAGATACAGAACCAGTCCCAGCTGGATTGCAGAACTGAGTGTGAATAGTGAACAGGGAGGAAAACTCAGAGTGGACCCAGATGTCTAGGTATGAGCCCAGGCTGGCCTGGGTGTGGAGTCCAGGCTGCCCAGATATATGGCTCAGGTTACTCCCAACAGATTGCCCTGCCTCAGCCTCTCTTGGGTGCTGAGGTTACAGGTCACCCTTGAGCTATGCATGTCTCTAAAAGGACAATAAATTCATAAATAAAACTACCAGCCACTTCCTTGCCAAAATCCCAACAACGTGGTTGCCTAAAGTACAACCTGAAAAATGACAGAGCAACTCACACGCCAACACGAATGGGGACTTGCAGGGCCACCGCTAGGCGAAGGCTACAGGCAGCAAGAAAGCGAGAATCCACCTTTTCCGGGGCCAGCCCCCGACAGGCTACCCGCTCCATCCCAGGCAGCCCTAAACACACGCGCGGGCAACACGAAATGAACTTGGCAGGCCGTGTGTGTGCATGTGTGTGTAATAATTTAACAACTGGATATCATGAACCTGAGGAATGACAGGACGTGGGGGCTGGAGGGGAATGGTGTGAACACTGCAGTCATGTGTGAAATCCTCAAACCTGAATGAGTTAAAGTGTCAACAGTACAATCTGAATGAAGACGTCTGTTAACAACAACAAAAAGCTAGAGCAACAAACAAACGCATACCACGAACAGACAAAACTTAAGCTGCCTTTTCAGACAGTTTTCATGGGAGCTGGAGACCAGTGCTTCATAGGAAGCCTCCTGCTCTCCGTCTTTCTCGGGCTTTAAGGGTGTCTCGCCAACCAGGAGCCCAACCTTCTCCAAGTCACTGAAAAGCCAGGGTGCCATGAGGAGGGTACGATCTCCAGCAACAGCTCAGGGAGCTGCCATGCTGTGGGCGGCCGGGGAAGTGAAGCCGCCGCTCTCTCTGAGGATGGAACTGGGACTGCCTGCTGACCAGGCAGGTCACACAAGGGGACCCCACCCCCAGGCCCCGTGACTCACCTGGGTCACAGCTGAGGGCACCCTCCCCCAGGCCCTCGGCTCACCTGGACGCTCACGCTGCCCTGCAGTTTGAGCTGCAGCTTGATCATGTCCACTTCGCCGCAGGAGCACAGCTGGCGGAGCTCGGCCACCTTCTTGCTCATCTCGTCGATGGCCACCTCGATAGGGTTCAGGTCAGTGTGGTGCTGGTACATGACCGGGATCCGCTTCTTCACGTAGGGGAAGCAGTGTATCGCTGTGGAGGAGGGCCAGAGTTACGCCACAGGCCACGGCCGTGGGAAGTGATTATCAGGCCGACTTCACAGCTGGAAGCTCAGAGCTGGCCAGTGCCGTGTGGCTAGCACCCTTCGGAGCCGAGGCGGTGCCATCCTTTCTAATACTGGATGCTTAAGAGTTTATTTATTTCTAGTTTTATATGTATGAATGGGTTGCTTTCATGTATATCTGTGCACCGTGTGTGTGTGTGTGTGTGTGTGTGTGTGTGTTACCCAGGGAAGCCCAAAGAAGCCACTAGATCCTCTGGAACTGGAGTTACAGGTGCTGTGAGCCACAACACTGTGCTGGGAACCAAACCCGGGTCTTCTGGGGGCAGCCAGTGCCCAGCCACCAGGCTGGCTCTCAGCTGCTCGGCGCTGTGTTTAATGACAGGCATCTCATGAGGGAAACAGCTGGTGACTTGCTGTCCCTGAGCATTCGAAGTGTGTCTCTGAAAAAAAAATCTCTTTTATTACTCCCTGTTTATTTTCTTATCTATGAGTGCCCTAACCCTCCTTGGAAGTTGTGAGAGCCAAATGAATGGGATCAGGGTGGCTTCTAAAACACAAAAAGACAGTTTTGTGCAGACTAAAAAAAAAAAAAAAATAGTGCCATGGGATATCTTTGAGAAAATTCACTTTCTTCTGAAGAACAATGTTGAATCACGCGACAATTTTTTCTAAGATATCAATGAAAAACAAATCCATGAGAGTAAATTTCTAAGCAAAGCATTTCAGGAACCAAAACTCACAAATGATGAGAACTGCTGTGCCGATGGTGAAGGTGCTCTGAAACGCCCAGTGGCCAGAAATCCGTGAATATTACTATTTATCGCACTTTTTCCACTAAAAGGTAACGCCTTTATTTTTAACAAGATACCTGACCATATCAACACCAAGCTACTTGAATAAAAAAAAAAAAAAGGTAGGGCTGGAAAGACCAGCAGCTACACGGCGGCTCCCAAGCATGTGCGTGCGGCTCCAGCTCCAGGGGCTCCGGCGCACTCTGACCTCCTGGACCCAGCATGCACGTGGCACACATACGGTGAGGCCAAGTACTCACACACAGAGTGAAATATAAAATAGATCAAAACCTTTTGAGTCAATGTCAGGAACTCAGCGTTTAGCATCCCCATCTTGTGTCAGAAACACCTGCAATATTCTCATTTGCCACTAGAAATGCACATGTAACTTGAAAAGTTTATTTTTAACTGTGTGTGTGGCACGCGTGTACCTCCGTGCATACATGGAAGGCAGGGCACAACTCCTGGCATTGTTCTCTCCGGCCACCTGTGGGATCTGGGTCAAGCCCAGGTCATCAAGCCCACTCACACACGCTTCTACTCCCTCGCCCATCCTCCAGGCCAGTAGTCAGTTTTTGTGTTTGTGGAACAGGTTCTCACTCAGAGCCCTGGCTGTCCTGGAACTCACAGAGGCCTGCCTCTGCCTCTGTGCTGGGACTAAAGGCGTGTACCACCACGCCCTCTTCTTTTAAGCAGAGGATGAGGGAGGTTAGGGCTGAGTTCTTTAGTGAGGGTAGGCGTTTACTCAGGAAAGGCTCTCACACCTGACCAGGCCAGCTCCCATCCCGGCAGGGCTGGAAACAGATGTTGCCTCAGTGGTCACATCTTATTTTCAGAATTTTTTAGTCTGGGGATCCTGCCTGGAATTTCTTCCATGTCCTTGTGGCACGGCTTTTAGCTGGCAAGGTAGGGCTGACTAGTCCTCTTTGTACAAGGCCCCCCCCTCCAAGTAACTGAGCGCTGCTGCGGACCGCCAGGGAAGCCCTTCTGACGGTGGCTACCATGCACCACACAAAGGAGTTCCATTTGTGAGGAAGACGACACACCACGAGGTGTCCCAGCACTTGTGACGTCACCGTGAGGCGGCACTGTTACTTTAGAGGGAGAGCCAGCTCCAAGCTTGGTGTGCGAGGGGTCCACGAATCACCCGACTCTGCTCATAGCTGAGTCCTGCCCATCGCTTCTCGCATGGGGACAGACCCCAAGGTGCCAAAGGCAGCTTCGGGGAAATTACGCAGAAACCTGCAGGTCCCAGCGTCCTGGCATTCTTGCTGGCTTTTCCTGCTCCTTGCCCTCAGCACCCTGGCTCCTGCCCAGACACAGACTGGACACCCTCATCTCCTCAGGTCTCGACTCAAACGTCATGTTCTCGATGAGCTCTACCCCCTGCACCCCACAAAACTGCACCCCCCACAGGCCCTGCATTCCCTATCTCCTTGTCACCTGTCAGCAAGTGTGGCACGCTCTGACACCCACACTGACTGCTGTCTCCTGCTGAGGTGTGGCAGCACAGGCCACAGGCCTCGCTCTGGGCACAGACTCCCCTGCACACACTGGTGCTCAAGGACCACATGGCAGAAGAACGCAGCCCTGGGAGGTGGGCACGGGGGTGGTACCGAAGCAGGCCCGATGCATAGTAGTTACACATGGCCCCGGCGCTGTGTGTGCCCTTCGGGAAGACAGTGACTGTGCGTGTCAACTGTATGGCAGGCCGGGGGTGGGGTGGGGGGTAGGGGTAGGGGAGACAGTAAGCACAAGCTCGGTCTGGGTGTGGTGGGGGCAGGGCTGGAGGATGCGGGAACAGTGGCCGTGGAGGAAGGAACCGTCTGCCCAGGGAGAAGTGTCTAGTTTTCTCGGATGCCTGGACCACAGTCACCCACCCGGGAAGTGTGCAGAAGGGCAGGTACCTGTGAGCAGATGTCAGGGAAGGCCAGGGCTCCTCCACAACCCGTGAGGCCAAAGGTCAGGCCTGCAGCAACACAGTGGAAGGCCCCGAAGCCCAATCACTGGAAGACGCTGGTGCAAAGTCCCCAACAGCGCTGCTGCGTTTAAAGGCTGCCAAGGCGCGAACATGCGTGCACAAGAAAGTGCTCTCTGGCTCTGCTCACTTGGTTAGCCACCTTCGCACACCTCACGGTGTCTCTGGGCAAACCCCACTGTTCCCGGGGGGCCTCATCTGGCACCCTTTCTGCCCTCATCAACCCTGGAAGAGTTCAGTGGCGGTGGGACCTGGCCCCAAAGCTCCTTTCCCTCCTGTGTGTACTTCACACGATTACCGAACACGATGAGGAGGTCTGGCAGGGTCTAAGGTCACACAGTGGGGCAGTGAGTGGCCCAGGTCTCCAAGGCCCAGGCCAGGCCCCTGTTTGCTCGGCTGTGGGTGTGTGGCTATTCTCAGAACCCACAGGGCTGTCTCTGCCCTGCCCCTTCCAAAGCCACTGCTCTTTGTCCTCCCACTCTTTATCTAATCTACGAGGCTCTGTAACGAACCTGAACCCTAACCCGGAAGAGCATGGGCCTCGGAAGAACACCCTGTTACAAATCTAACTGGTATGCCGCCTCGACAAGATTCCCGATAGAAGAGGAGCACCCAGCTCAGCACTGAGCTGTCTCCTCCTACAGCAACGCTTCCTCCCCTGAGCGTGTGCCCTGGGCCTCCTGGTGCACTGTGGGCACAGAAGCATAGGCCATCTCTAGTTTCTGATTCAGCAGATCGGGGGAGAGGCAGAGCCTGGGAATCTGCAGTTCAAATTCCCAAGGGCAGCTGACCCTGGCGGCTCTGGAGCCAACTCTGAGAGATGCTGACTTAAGAAATCAAAAGTGAGGTTCTTATCGATGTACAGATAACGTGGAAAATGGCAACCACAGCTCCAGGGTGAACTCAGGTGTGCGCTAGGGGAAGCGCGCTTGCCGAGAGACCCCACTCAGGAGTGCAATGTGGCTAATGCTCCCACATTTTCCTAAAAGGAAGGGCAGGGAAACGTAAAAATGCACGCTGTGTGTGTTTAAAACCTCTAACTCATTTCTCTCAGAGAAATCATAAAAACAGTCTGTATGGCGTCATCTTGAGTTTGTTTTTACTTTAATTCTACTTTGATCATGCACTCGTGTGTGTGTGTGTGTGTGTGTGTGTGTGTGTGTGTGTGTGTGTGTACACGGCCACATCTGTACCTGATGAGGCCAGATTAGGGTGTGAGACTGTGGAGAGGGGGTTACAGGCAAATGCAGCAGCCTTCGGAGGATGCTGGGACCCGCTGGGCTAGTCCCCCACCGGAGGTCCCCGACCTCCGCTCATCAGGGTGTCTTTACGTGTGCGCCCCGCCTGTCTGTGTGCGCCCCGTCTGTCTGTGACCTTGTGCATGCCCCGGAGAAAGCCAGAAGAGGGTGTCACGTCCCCTTGGCCCTGAGACTGGTTGCAGATGTGTGTAGCCGTCACGTGGGTGCCGGGACTGAACTGGGGGCTCGTGGAAGAACGGAAGGCGCTGTGGGCCACTAGGCCCCCGCCGGCCAGCCCCTCCCCCGCTGGTCGGGGCAGCTCACCCGTCAGGACCGTGCGCCGCTTGCACTGCTCCTCCACGCCGCCCTGCCTCTTGCCCGCCTGCGTGAAGGGCATCTCAAACACGAAGCGCCGGATATTGTGGCACCGCTCGAAGTCTGTCTTCCTCTCCTGCAGCTCCTTCTCATCGAAGAATGGGGTCACGTGTGTCACCTGGATGTAAGCAAACCTGGAGTCCAGGTCCTTCGGGTTGACCTTTAACAACGAGAACACGTCAGGCGCCGCCTGGGTCTTCCTGCCCACACTCCTGCCCAGAAAACCTCGTTTGCTAACGAGGAAACTTAGGAGGTCGGACAAGGTAGCAGAAGAGCGTGCCCACCACCAGGGTCAACACTGCTACCCCACTGCCGTTTCCGACGAGACTCACATTCACACACGCTCACACACGTGCAGGCAGTTCTTAAGCTGATTCTGAGGTTAGCAAACGAGGTAACGGGCTTCACCCTAACACCTCCACCCGCGTTCACTACACCTTGCTTTCTGACTCTCATGAGCGCGCGCGCACACACACACACGCCTCCCACGCTTTAAAGGGAACAGCACACACATGACGCACTACCCACTTCTCCTAAAACCGAGCACTTTTCTCTATAAACACAGTGCACCGTACTACTCAGCAACAATTCTATTCGGGCCACCTACTTCCCCACAGTGCCAGCCAGCCGGCCGGCCAGGGCCTAAGCCACGATCACGCTTCCCGTTCCCGCGTCTCTGTCTGCCTGCCCTCGCTCCTCCCTCCGTCCCTCTCCCTCCTCCCTTCCTTCCCTCCCTCCCCACCCTCCTTGTTTTCAATAGGGTAAGCGAGTGTGGCTTTGAGCCCCTGACCTGTGTCCACGTCCTAAGTGATGGGACTATAGAGAAAGTCTCTGCCCAGGCTTGCCTCCTTACTCTTGATCACTTCTTTTCCATCATACTGAGGAAACCCTGGCAGTTTTCTCGCTCAGGGTCCACCCCCTGCCTTCGTCTAGATTTCTCCATTTTAATTTTTGTTTGTTTTTAAACCACTTTAATCCTCTTGGATAGTAAAAAGATTTATTTTTAAAATGAGGATCAAATGTTAGGCCCTAACATTATTATTAATTGGTTGTCAGATCAAATGAGACACTGACAGCTGCAGAAGAATCCATTTACCATAAGTGCAGAGTAACCTAATTGACGGTTAGGCAGTGGCTTCCTTCAGAGGAAGGCAGCACAGGGACACTTCCTCCAGCACATCATGACAGCAGGTGGTCCCTGTCTGACATACAGTGGGAAACTAAACAGGCGTGTTCCTCAGAGAGACAAAAATGGACTCACATTAGTGAGGCAAATCAATTTTGCAAATTCTACTTAACCTAGAGCAATAAAATGGCCATGGAAGTATTGGCTTGCAGAGTGCTCGGGGCAGACAAATGTACTCTTACTGTTCTGCGCACGCTTAGAAAAAGACAGAGAAGTCAGCCTAGTGCAGAAGGTTAAAAACACACACAAAAACCCACAGAACTTTACCATAATTCATTTGTACGTGTGTGTGTGCGTGTGTGTGTGTGTGTGTGTGTGTCACTGCGCATGCATGTAGAGCACTGGAGAAGGGCCTTGCTAAGAAGCTGTTCTCCCTCCTCAGTCTGTCTGAGTGTCGGCCACCAGGGGCGAGGTAAGCCTCAGAGCCCGGTGAAGAGGGCACACACAGCCATGCCCTCAGGGGGTTAATGATGAGGGCAACCAGGGCACTTTTGTTCCTGGGATTCTGGACACAAGGCCTCACTACTTAGCATAGGTTGGTTTGAAAGTTGTGATCCTCCTGCCTCAGCCTCCAAAGCGCTGGCTCCATCCCCTCTGACTGACAACGCCTTGACAATTATGCCAGAAAGATTTCCTCAGTGTTAAGCACGTCATGAAAAGCACAGACAGGCGACTGGCAGGGGAAGAAAACACAGCTGGCCCTCCAGAACAACTCTCCTACACCCTCCCCTTTCACATCTGTGAGCACACACTCTTTCTACAGCCCATCACAGACAACATAAACATTCCTACGCAGCTTGTCAGACAGCAGAGTACCTTGCCAGAATCCTGTATCATTTTGACGTTTTCAGGACCAAATTTGTCCGAGTAGAGCTTCAGGAGCCTCTGAGAAATCTCCGACAGAGGCGTAAGCTTGGGCTCTTTGTAGATGTATTCCTTCCCATCCTCGTCTTCGAAGAACCCCTGTGAGGAGGGCACAGTCAGAGGTGCCCGAGTGTGCCCAGGCCGACCACAACAGTGAAAAACAGAAACACGAAAGCGATGGGAAAAGTGATTCAAAGGAAAAGCCCGCTTAAGCAGGCCGTTCAAGGAAGGAAAGGGTTCTAATGTCAAGTCAAGGTACAAAGAAGGAAACAAAAGCGCAAACTTAGGCAGGCCATGAAGTGTTGGTGAAATGGAGGCTTCAGGGTCTGAGGAGCCTGATGAGTTAATCCTGTTTCACATCCCCACGTGGCCGGGCGCACAGAGAAGTGACCAGTGTGCGACAGACACACCAGGACACACACGAGGTCCAGAGTGGTTTGAGCACAAAGGACATAGGTTTGAGTGAGACTGATTGTGCGTTAGTGCTGAAGAGACCAGCGCAGGCCGACAGCACTGAATGGAAAGCTTTACGGAAACCAGCCGCGATGGGCAGGGCACAATCACGGGCGCCACAGGGTTAAGATCGCATGGGAAGTGAAAAAGGCCAAAAGTTAAAATGTCCTGATTGGGGGGTTAATATTTGAAAATAATGCTCAACAAGTTTCTTATCTAAAGTCAAAGGAGAAAAATGGTATAAAAATACAACATATGTAAAAAAAATAATAAAACAACAAGCCAGGCTGACGTGAAACACACAGAAACACACACACACGCGCGTCGCATCACGCCAGGGTGCAGGGTGGCCGCTTTACTGGCGTTCTGCTGTAGAAGCATTAGTTACCTCCACATCTGTCTCACTGTCTGTAAACTGGTATTGCTATAGTTATGAAAGACAACAACAATAAATTGAAGGTTATAAAGTGCATACAGGAAGATCACACACCCTCCATAAATGGATGAGAATCTAGTCCATTTGCTAACGTTAGAGCCCGAGCTAACACTGAAGCTTAGATGGCCCCTCCGACACGGCTGCCCAAGTGCCACAATGGTAACTACTTGGGCAGACTGATACACAGGCACAAAAGACGTCTTAATTGTGGTTTAGAACATGCAATGCTGATGTCTAAGGGAACTGATGGTTTCTGTAAATGGAATAAAATGTTAATTTTTTCTTTGGAGTTTGAAATGACTAGATAGGATACATACATACAAGACTTGAAAAGGAACTTGCAAACTGCACCGGAAGAACAAAAGACGACCCTAAGAATGCCGAATGGAGGAGGAACTTACCGCTGCCTTAAGTAATAAAGGAAAGATAGGAAGAAAGGGAAAAAAGTAGAGTTTACCATGGAGGAAGATAAGAGCCACAGCACAAATGACAAATTCATCATACAGCATTTCTGTGGAGAACGCCCCCCCTGCACCCCTCTAGAGAAGGAAGCACAGGCTCGGGCAGCCCACGGGAGGCAGGAGGCTCACCTGTCCAAAGAAGGCCACTCGGAAGTAGGTGCCCAGGAGCCTGCGGCCCGAGTGCATGACCTCAGTCACTTTGCTGTAGGCGCGATGCAGCGTGTCGTACAGGTGGGCCAGCCTCTGCAGGGCAGAACGAACACAGCTCTTAAACAACACGATGGCGCAGCCGAAAGCACTCACTGGGAGGACTCAGGCGTGTGCATGTGCACAGGCGTGTGCGCAGGCACTGGAGTGTGCGTGTGCTGTGTGCAGCCAGAGGACAGGCCCGGGTGGTCGTCCTCTGGCCTCGTCCACCTTTAGTTTTAGAGATGGGGGTCTCGCTGGCTCAGACCTTGTCAAGCAGGGTGGCCGGCCAGTGTGCCCTTGGAGTTCCCTCCCGGCTCTCCAGCACTGGCAATATAAGCCTGTGTCCACAACCAGCTTTTTCACCAGGGTTCTGGGCACCGGACCCAGGTCCAAGGCTTTAAGGCAAACACGGAACTATCCTCGGTCCCGGGAATCTGTTTTGGCTGTGTGTGTCACAGTGATCACGTCTGGGTTGTGGCCTTTTCTATATGAAACGGATGCTGGGAGCACACTCCACAGTCTGCTTCCAGACTGACGTGAGGCGGCGGAGACAACCTCCGCTGTTCAGCACGCTCTGCCACTCACACGCTTGGGGGCAAGAGCCCGGAAATCACAGAACTCTGTCTGGGGAACCCTTCCTAAAGGTCAGTGTTGGGGTGGGACACGGGTGTCCGCCCCGGTGGGGCAGGGCCACCGGGCATCACTGCTTCCCCGAGTTGGGGCACGCCAGCACAGCAGATGGCGACGTACCTCAAAATCCCTCCGCTTCTCATAGATGGGGATGATGAGCTTGTAGATGTCCGCGATCAGCTCATAGCGCTCGGCCTTCCACAGCCCGTCCGCACACTGCTCCAGCAGCTCCATCAGGACGTCCTGGGCAGAGGGGGCAGGGCCGGGAGGTCACGGAGAGCCGCCTCCGTGCTGGCGTGGGCGTGCTGCTCCAGGGGAACTTACAGCACTAGCTCCACCATCGTGGCGACTCAGGCCACCAAGTTCCTTGAGGGGCTGTTTCCACCCCAGATCATGTTTATATACAAAACTACAGAGGTGTCAAAGCCGGGCCAAGGAGTTAAGGCAGGTCTGTCCAGCACCACGTAGGACAATTCATGGCTGTCTGCGCCTGTTGCTCTGGGGAGCCTGACGCCCCCTCCTGGCCTCTGTGGGCACTGCATGCTCATGATACACATACAATAAAACTTTTCAGAAAGTTCCAGAAAGCTGATGCTGGCCGACTCCATGGCTCTCAGCTCCTGTCACTAGTTCTCTTTTTAGAAACACAACTTGGAAATGTCTCTTTCTGATGAACAAACAGACAGCAGAGTCCCCGAGCAAGACTAATGTCCAACTAATGTTGTGAGGTGGTCCAGCATGGTGGATGTGGGGCTGAGGACCGTTTCCTTTCTTTGGCAATTTCTTGCTACAGCGGTTTGCACAGCCCTCCACTTTCTGCAGAGCTCCTGGGCTCCGGACGTGACCCTGCCTATGGCTTATATATGCTAATCACCATGGAGCTTTTTCTTAGCGACAGCCTCATCATCATTGTGCCATGACGGGTCCACTTGAGGCTTCCATCCTGCAACACTGGGATGGACATGTGGACAGAAGGCAGCATGTGAAGGGTGAAGAGCCGGCTTCTGCCCAACCCCAACTTCTGCCCTTGGCATCGAAAGGTAAACATATTTGTCTCTTCTCTAATACTGGAATTGGAAGGCAGCGTCTATTTTTAAAAATACACTTTTTTAATTCTTTGTGAATTTCACATCATGCACCCCAGCCCCACTCTTTTCCCCGTCCCTTCAGATCTGCCCTTCACCCACAAACCAAAACAAACAGTGTGTCCCACAGCACTCGTCTGTCCACGCATGTTCACTTGCAGATGCTCACTGCAGCGAGTCACCGGTCTGGTTCTCTGCACTGTAGTGCTGGGTCCTCACCGGCCTCCTCTCGGGTCCCCTGTCCTTTCCGGTGTCACGGGGCCGCAGCTTTGCATCTACAGGACCGGCCCCTCAAGCACTCGGGCCCTTCACAGATGGCTAACTCGGGGGTGGGACAACTCAGAGCGCCGGATCTGGGCCTGGGCGGTACGCTGCCCGCCGGCTCTCGCACGCACACACCCCCAGACCGAGCTCTCCAGACCAGGCCAGCTAGCTCAACCATGCTACAGCGGACAAGGGCAGGGGCAGCTCTTCCACTCTCCTGCCCTCGGGGCTGGCTCGCCTGTGCCTTTGTCATCAGGGCCAGCGCTCCTGTGCTGCCGCAGCAGAGCTGAGGTGCAGACCTGACCTCCCAAGTGCAGCAGCCAGGGAGGGGCAGGGCTGGCTCATGACCTTGGGCAGTGCTCCTGCCGGCCACAGGTGGGAGGGCTGTGGGGGAGGGTCCTTTTTTAAATTGCTTTGTTCTGAGGCAGCTCGTGCGTCCCAGGCTGGACTCTCGGTTTTACAGGGTGTGGAAGACTGAACACCGGGCTTCACTTGGCCAGGACGCACGCACTGTCTAACCCATGTCTTGCCCTCCCCCCTCCTTCTTATTGTCTCTTCCAGAATGTCATAGTGTTTCCATTCTTAGGAAACATTCACTACCTCCAAAGCCTCCAAGTCTACAGAACCAGCCTGCAGATGATCCCGAATAATCAAAGCTACTTACCTCCCATGCCAGGTTTACGACACACATCATAAAACTGTCATCCATGGGACTGAACCCCACACTGCCAGCACCCATAAAAAGGCACGACAGTTGTCTCAGCCTTTAGTGTAGCTCTCATTAAAGCCAGATGTGCACAGTAACTACCACAACAGATGTAGAGAACCCAGAGAACCTTCCAGAGGGTGTCCCCCCCCTTTGCATTTATGTTATAAAGATGTCTATCTTGCTTTTATTTCTAGGCTTTTCTAACGGACAGTCTAGCACACTAAACATGCCAGATATTTCTTCATGTTCCTCTGCTTATAAAAAAGCTAAAAGAGAAAGCATAAATCTAAAGCTTGTAGAATTTTAGAGACACAGTCACACTCACATTAAATAAAACATTCTGTTGTAAAATAAACAGAATGGTTTTGGGTTTCCCCCTTGTCGCTGATGGGCAGATCAGTGAGAGGGAGCCCTTCAGAACACTGTGAAGTCTAGATTCTGGATGTTAATGCAGAAGCCAGTGAAAGAAGTTTCTCGCATTTCAAACATTACTTTCTATTTTATTAATCTTGCTTAATAAAATCTTCCTTCTCCCAGGGTACACACTAGTTCACAGCACCTGACACACAGGTAGAACGAGCGGGTCTAGAAGCAGGCTTGCATTTTTCTCAGTGATGGCAGCAGCGCCGGGCGCTCGGAACTCCTCCGTGTGGGAGAGATTTACCAGAGCCTTGCATTTCTCCCAAGTCTCAGGTCAGGCTCACCACCCACGGGCATTCATGCACTGCGCCTCAGTGTTCCAGGGGAGCACAGAGCAGACCGAAGGAGTCCTAGGAAACCCAGTCCCCCAAGGGGACGGCAGTACTGTGGCCAGGGTACTCACCAGCATGGAACTTTATTTTCACACTATTCTACGGTGTAACATTTGGTCCCTTGTATTCTAACATCCAGGCTTACCACAAATGTAATTTTTTTTGTGAAAAAATATAGTTGGTTTTCCTAGCTGCGACAGCCACACTATGAACAAATATATAGTGATGGCGCCTGCGCACACCAGCAGGGCACTAGGGAACTTTCACACTGTGCCTTAGCAGCTGTAGTATAAGGAAAGTCAGAAGTAGATTGTTTTGTCAGGCAATTCCTCACAGTACAAGTCTCCAGGGTGAGCTCGGCCTGCACTACAGAAGGCAGCTGTGGCTGAGAGAAAGGCCGGCACTCCTCAGCAGCTCCTGACGCGGCTCCCCTCTCCCAGCGGAGCCTGCCCCCTTACCTCTGGCTGAAGGGACAGACAGACAGGTAGTGCGGCAGCGCTCACGCTCACGCTCCACAGGCTCCTCCCAAGTCCGCCAGAGTCCTGTATCCTTGCCCTCCTCCCTGCCCTCTCCCCTCCCAGATGCCCACCTGTTCTCTCCTGAAGGCAGGCAAGGCCTCCTCTGCTGCGCTCACTCTACTGCCCGCTCTCTAAGCTATACCCCTGGCTACCCCTCCTGCCCACCTGCCCTCCCTCCTCACTTTCCCTCTATCCTCCCCCTCCCCCCTTCTCTCCCCCCCCCCCCCCTCCCATTTCTCTCCCCCCTCCCCCCCCCCCCCCCCCCCCTTTTTTTCCCCCCCCCCCCCACTCTCACACCTCCTCTTTACTTCTCATGATCTGACTCCCTGCTGGCTCCACTATCCCTCCCTCCCCCACTTCTCAAGCCCTGGCACATCCAGTCTGATTCTGCTCTGGACTCTTCCAGATGCCTCTAGCCATTCTCTCTCAATAAACCTTCCCACACCACGGAGCAGCCATGCCGAGGCTTCGTTCTGTGCCTCCAAGAATACAGGTTTGAGACAGGAATTCGTCCCGTCTCGTGCCTGCCCTCTTGGATTCAGTACTTTCTTGTGCTGGGGCTGCAGACACCATAAGAACCTAGAACGACTTTATGTGACATTACAAAGAGTTGGAAACTTTCTCAAAGAGTTAAAAAGTTGAAGGGATTGGAGTTTCCATCCACCTCTCCCCCCCCCCCCCCACAGGAGCATCCTCGACACCACGCTTACAAAAATCTACTCGAGCCAGGTCTTCGTACCTAGTAATCGCTCAGCGGATATTTTTTTTTAACCAGATATGGGAAGTGTGTTTTCAATGGTGTTGTGGTAAGGGCTCCTGGCTCGTGGGGCAGTGTGGACGGTGGCAGACGTTTTAGGAGTGGGGACGTAGATGGAGGAGGCAGGCCAGAGGTGGGAGTTTCCCATACACTGCCACGCGCTGTTTGTAGCCAGCTGAAAGCAGCCTCCCTGTCTACTTCAGGTGACCTCCAGAAGAGCCCTGGGGGGGGGCTGCTCCCCATAGCAAGAAGAAACGGGACGAGCAAAGAGCTAAGAACACTGGAACTAAGCCATTTCCACCGGAAGTTCCTCTTGTTTTATCCCTGGGGAGAACGCCGGGGTGGGAAACAGAATCTCTGTGTGGAGGAGGCTCTGCCAGGCCGGAAAGCTCGCAGCCAGGAAGCCAGCACGGCGGTTCCAGCGGGCTTCCGTGGGCATTTCTGCCGGACGCTGCGGTTGCTGATTTGCTCTGACTTTTGCAGGCTCTCCTCACTGGATACTCGCAAATGTTTTTGCTGAATGTTGTAAGTGCCGGATCTGGTGACGTGCAGTTCTGGATAGGCTGTTTCTGCCATTTGTCCTTTACTCTTGTTTGCCACAAAAATGCACACAAAACCCAAAGGCCATCCTCTGGAGGGACACAGGGTGTACCGGTAAGGCCGGATGCTGGCCCCTTGCTCTCTCTCACTCCCAACTACCATCAGGTGAGCGCCCTGCCACCATATCTTCTGCCACAACTATCCCACCCCACTGCCGCAGAAACAGCGGAGCCGCGAGAGCACAACCCGAAGCCTCTGAAATGACGGGCAATCTCCCCCCTTCTGAACGGCTTCCTCGGGAATGTGTCCTAGAGACATTACGAGCCGAGCCGACGGAAACAGATGGCTTTGTTAGGATGTGGGGAGAGGGAGCCGTGCGGGCACGCACAAGCATTCTCCGCAGACACAGCACCAGCAGGGAGAGAAGCGGCACAGAAGCACGTCCTGCTCCGTGTGGGAGACAGACTTGAGATGGAAGCAAGCGCTCGATAAAGACTCAGAGTGAGTCAGGAATTCAGAGGAGCGTGTCCATCCAGACAGACACGGGGGGGGGGGGGGGACAGGACGACACAAGCTAAGTCACCTGGAAAGAAAAGATTGAGAGAAGGCCTCCACCAG